ATTGCACTGAAAACTCCTTCAGTTATTTGAAGCCTTCAGTTATCCAAAATTCTCCCCTTCTCCACCATTATGTTCAGATAATTGAGGCTGTGTGGAGCACACTTGCAGCCAGCTAGAAGAGCGAGCATTATCTTTCAGCTGATACAACTATCAATAGCAAGTGTACAGCATACACTACAAAGGCTTTATTGTGCATATGTAGGGAGATAGAGATGAGATACGGTTCCGGGAGGCAGTTTGTCTAGTGGTTACAGTACAGAGTTGGGTGTCATGAGACCAAAGTTTTAATTACTACCTCTGCTACCGACTCTGTTACTCAGATAAACTGCTCGCTGTCTCTGCATGCCAGCATCTCACCCAGCAAAAAAAAGGGCACTGTGAGAATTACCCACCTTTGTCAAGCACTTTGATACCCTCAGATAAACAGCTTTTTCTGTATAACTGCTGAGTCTTACTGTCCATTTAACTGCATTTCTAAAACTCTTTGGAAAGAAAGAACTGAAAAAAAAAAGTAGCTGAAAACATTTGAGAAGCATAACTTTAGTTGTCAGAGACTGGCACAAAGTTCAGCAGAACTGTTCTGACTTAAATCAAGGCAGACCTGGCCCTTGAAACACAGCTTGCTGGATGTGACGTGACCAATGTGAACAAGCTGTACCTGTGCTAGGTACAAACTACCAAATGCAGATTCATATGTATCGCTGCAAAAATCTTTATGTCTTACCACAAACTAGTACCAGTACTAGGTATTTGAACAAGAATAATTCAGCATTCATTAAAGCAATAATCTGTGTGTTCAGTATGCTCTGAACAAAGTAATTTTGTTTAGAGAGTCCCAAAACTTTCCGCATAGAGGGATTGGCACCAGTGTGTGTCCTCCCCTCGAATGGAGCCAAGCGATGCGCAGCACACCAGGAAAGGTGCCAGCCTCAAAGAACACATCTTAAACCATGCTGCCATTAATGCTTCCAGCACACAAAATGCACAAAGATAATAGAAAACAATGGTCTTTGAATAGTGATAAACCTCCTGATTGCAGGTGAGGGACTACACAAGCTCCTTGTACAAAGCTGTAACTGCACGTACAGTACACCCGGATACAGTGCAGATGTATTTGTAATCACCATCCACCAAACTCCTTATGAGCAGGCAGAACACGACCCTGTGAGGTAAGGAGAAGGCACCTGCTGCTCTGCTATCTTTCTGCTTTGTCTTATAAGCATCTGAAATTCTGTTTTAAGGCTTTTCCACGTGGCGATTTCTATAAATCGCCCTTATCGGCTGGAGTGCTGAGGTGAGGGGAAAAAATCCCGTGCTCACTTAAAGCCTTTTATTTCTCTTGTGACATGGACATCTTGGAGAGCAGATTAGCCAAAGGAGAGAGAAAAAAAAAAAAAAAAAAGGCAAACAGAATACCGTGACCTAATCCTTCCTCTCAGAAAAAGAAAGGGGAAAGAAAGCCTCTTGTGATCTCCAAGGAGTAACTTGCCTTGTAAACTAGTCTCCTGTTTGAAACGGAAACAAGAATGTGAATCCTGATACAGAGAGGCTACCAAAGGCAGGGAACAGCTTAACAGACCAGAGATTTTCCCTTTCAGTGCAATGCTGGGTATTACACTGGTCCTGCCTACATTAGAAATACAGGCAGCAAAAACTTAACAGGTTACAAGATCCTCTGGCCACAAAGACATCGAAATGTGGTTATTTTTATACACTAGGCAGGAGCATAATCTGTGTCCAAGTTTATAAACTGTGGGCTTGTAGTTTATTAAAAGGATTCTATTACTGGCTCCCCTCTCTTCAGTTATTGCATCCAACCCCCGTGACATGCAGTTAAAGCCCTCTCAAGCCTGCCCCTCTATAAAACCAGGAATGCTGCCCCTGCCCCCTACTCCCCTTAGGGAATGGGGGCAATCAGCATTAGAGTAACTAAATATTTGAAGAAGATATCAATTTTTACTGGCAAACATTACTTGGAATAAAAGTTTGTAGTTCCTCAAATGCTTAGATAAAAGGGCACGAAGGCAGGCACATTGGCTGCCATTGTCCTTTTTTTATCAGGTAAGAATGCTGAGATCTGGGGTAAGCTCCTGGCAAAATTGAGAAGAACCCCTCAAAACTCCCCAGACCCCTTTGCAGCACCAAAGTGGACAATTGGCCCACTCAGCCTAGTCTCTTCTCCAGCTCCAGCCAGCCAGATCATTCCTAGCAGCCAATTCTTGAGATTAATTTCTCCTGCATGCACATGCCCATGACTAGGCTACTTACACCCTCCATTTTTAATTGTCCAGAAATACTTGGAGCAGTGAGGTTTTTTGCAGCTTCTTTGAACACCTCACTCCATTCTCAAGAAGCACTGTGAATATGCTCTGAGCACTGTGGTGGCATCACTTCTGTTTCATTCAAGCAGAGGATTTGACCATCACTGGCTCTGACACACAAACACAACTGGCATGAAAAGCTTCCAGGAATACTCAGGTGTTTATGCTTTTGTTTTACTCTGCAGAAGCACAAACACTAATGAAATCCTGAATGGCAAGGAACATAAGCAAACAGAATTTCATCGTGGCAACAGCTAATTAATCTTTTATATTCCAGGTATTATCTTCAGACTTCTTTTTTGGCATCCTTCCCCAGTTCCTATCCAAGTATCCAATGTCCACAGCTTCCTAAAACATGGTGGCAGATGCCATTCTGATAGGAAACCAGAAATTCCTTCCCGATCCAGCAGATTACGTCATGCCTCTGAAATGCAAGATCAAATCCAATCCAGCTACCTGTCCATCTCCAGAGTGCCTATCAATTAGCATTAGACAGTAATTTGATTAAATTGGTATGTTGAGATTTTATTTGATTCCACCTAAGGAGTGTAATTCCCCTCACGCGTTCTCTGTAACCCACTAATTTTCCAATGGAATGGGAAACACAGGTTGGGATTTAGAGGCTAGTTCTTCTACTTGTTAACATGTGAGCTTAAAACCACAGTAAAAAATAAATCCGTGCAGCTTGGTAGAATGAGACTTGCCAGTTTAAGAGAAAACTGCTTTCTGCAGAATAACCCAGATGGGGGGGGAAAAAAAAGTATACTTTTAACTCTGAAACCTGAAGTGTTCTTTGAGGGAAAACGAATACATTTTAGCCTTAAAGGGATCACAGACTGCAATTATATAATTCTTGTCAACTGATGTTAAAGATAGGCTGGAAAGAATGTATGCTGAGGCCCTGCAATAAAACGAGCTCCTTTACTCCTTTCAAATGTTTGCAAGCCTTGGAGGTTATCCAAAGGTCGGATACAGGAAAAGTCTTGGTGAACAGAAAACATAATCATGAGCTTTTTTAATACGGGCTCTTTTTGTAATAAAATAAAATTATGGTAAGGGAAGGGAGGGCGGGCTCTGTCTCCTCAGATCTAAGGCCAGAGGGGCTGAGTTTTAATCAGAGGCTGCTGTTCTCCCCTCCTCTCTCCTCCCCAGCCTGTCACTGCACAGAGAGAGAAGCCAGCAGAGGTGCACAGGCACTGGGAGTGCTGCAGAGGGGCAAATGCACAAGCCTGCACTGAAACCCCTTGGCTTTGCTGCAATGCAAGGACATATTTCCCCAGAGGGAGATGGATCTTCATGGCCAGCCAGCCTGCACAGGAAAAAAGCAGATCCTCCTCAACAACCTGGGGTCTGTTGGAGAACAGCTCTGTACAGTACTGGAACTAATGTGCTGCCCCTTCTGGGTGCACCAGAACAAATGGCATGTTTCCCACTGAAACACCCCTGGAAGTAAGGTATATGGAGAATATCACATCCAGCTGCAACTACAGAGGAGTTGTCAATACACTCATGAATTTTGGGGTGGAATCCAGGGCTGCAGTATTTACTCTTTCCAAAAGTGATATGGCTTTAGTTGTGGCCACCTGCAGTCAGGGAGCTGCTTTCTGTTTTACTTGGAGTACCTGGGGACACTGCCTGGTTACCCCACCTGGGCTATGGCCACGAGTCACACACGAGCACTTGCACCACCTCCTGCATTTGGTTCTGAAATTTTCTATCCAAGAACAGATTTGACCTCATCCCATCAGTCTGCTAAACACAAACCTGGAGCAGCAAACCATGAAGTGTCTGGAGGGAATTCCTGAAGTGGACATTTGCTGAAGACATCAGGCACTTCTGAGTTGTGATCATCCTCCACCAGAAAACCTGTGAGACACCCACCAAGAGTGGCTTTGTTCTAATCCCACACTCTGTAACACTTTATCACGATTTATCTCTTATGGTGACTGATCCATCATCCAACGGTCGCTACAAACCTGTCTTACCTGTACCTCAGAGGCTCAGAAAACAATCTTACAACAAATAATACTTTTTTATCTCAAAAATTAGAAATCTGTTTTAATTATCTCTGGGGAATGTCATTCATGCTGACAAGTTCACCACTAGTTTTGAAGTAGTGGTGAATATTTTTGAATAGTTTTGAAGCTATTTTTTCCTGTTTCTTGAATTTCTTCTGGACTTCTTCTCGCGTTGCACCTTTATCAGTCTGGATGGAGTATGCTTCATATGAATAAATAGAATTAGGAAAAAAAAAAAAAAGGAAAAAAGAGCATACCTACCATTCCCATCTAAGCAAGAAACCCACTTGAGAGCTGGAAAGAGTTGGAGCAATGTGGATTGACTGGTAAATGCACCTGCTCTGTTAGGATTTGAAACTAGTTCACATTAGCAGTGCTTCCATGGACCATCTCTCATCCTACAGACAGGAAAACTTGACTGCATATTTAATGTAAATTTAAGTCTTGGGGGTGTCCTGTGCAGGACTAGAAGGTGACTTTGATGATCTTAGTGGGTCACATGCAACTCAGGATATTCTAAGATTCTATGAAAGTATTTCTTTTTTTATGTCATTTCATGCCTGTTTTCTGTTATGAACAGCACATTTTCTTCTCCCTCATCTCTGAGGAAGAGATGCAGAGCTATCTTTCAGAAAAACAGAAGACAAAGACCTTTGACAGATGCTCAACATTACTGCATGCAGAATCTGCCATATATTTATTTTTAACAGTATAGTGAGTCACAAAAGAGATGTGATTGGCAGTCCTATTGCATTCCAGGAGAGATGGTACAAGCCCTTAAGAGGTATGACCCAAAACATCACCTCTCCTTTTCATTTCACCTCTCCCTCTTTTATCCAATCCTTTTCCTGCTGAGTGGTGCTCCTTGGCTTTATCCACATGTCCTTCCTCTTCCCTTTGAGCTGAAAAGTCAAGAGAAGAAATATATGAGCACTGGAAAAGCCACTATAAAGCAAACTGCTGATTTTAAAAATAAGGGTACCTATTCACAGGCTGATTTAGAGAATTGTTTTGGCATGTACCTAAATGCAGCTGATCTCCACAAAATGTAAAACTGCACTAAAACTCAGATACCAGAAGTCAAACAGACATTGAGAAGCCCTTCCTGAGTGAAGCCACTTGCCCAAGCTGGTTAAGATATCCTATAGAAATTCCATGTGCTCAGGACAGCTCTTGGGCCCAAGAAACAGTGATAGCAGTAAGCTGACCCTGCACACCAAAATGCAGAGCCCCAGGAGATGAGATCCAGATTTTCAGATTTTCCTGAGAGCAGAAGGTGGATGCTTGGTGGTGCTGCAGGCAGGCAGCTCTTCAAACGAGCTCCACACATGGGAACAAACATGACCAAAGGCCTCACACCCAATGGGAAGCCGCTGGGTGCCGAAGGCAGCTGAAAATCTGGTGCTCAGAGTGGGCACTGAGCCCTGAGAAATCCAACTCCCATCCCTGCTGAAAATCTGTCACCACATCATCAATGTTAAAAGACAGGTTTTTCAAATGGGAAAAGCGCATTTATCACCCTCAGCAAACTCACGATCAACACAAGGCATAATTGCTCAAATGTCAAATAAAAATTCTCGGTTGAGCAAACACCACGCGTGGACCTTTTTTGATCCCTAAATATGAATGCTTTAGAACAGGATGAGCATGTGGCCTGCAAGGCTGGAATGGAGAGTGCTTTGTAACCTTAACTCTACCAGGCGTGATAAAGTGCCCGCGATCATGAAAAAAAGCTCATCTGAAAGACAGAGGGAAACCAGATGGGAAAAGAACACAAACTCTTAGCAGGAATTTCAGGGATTTTTTTTTTTTTTTGACATTGCTTTCAATTTTTCCAAAATAAAAATCTCATCTCATTGCTCGATGCTAAGTATAAATATGGTCTGATCCACCTGAGGCATTCTGAGGGCAAGGCTGAAAGGTGAGGGTTAGCTCTGGAGCCTCCCATGCCATCAGGATCTGTGAGCCCAGCCCAGGGGAGCAAGTACTGCCAGCCCCTCCACCCCCCAGGCACCTGGGGCTGCAGGAGTGCTACCTCAGCTATTGCTGACTGCAGCACCTTGGCTACTTCTGCTACTGCAGTTCTTTCTGCTGCCCTAGCAAATGCTTCAGCCACTCTTTCTGCTGCTGGGTTTTCCGATGCTCCCACCACAACTGCTGCTGCTCCTTCAGGAGTGACCATCTTCTCCACTGGGCTTTCTGCCTCTGGCATTGCAGCTGTTTTTTCTGCTCCTTCCACCTCGGCTTGTGATGCTGTTGCATCCTTCCCTGCTTCCTCTGGGGCTGTGACAGCCAACAGCTCCATGTCCCCTGCCAGGTCACCGGCAGCCAGCGCAGCAGGAGGATTCTTCCTTCCCCGGGGACAGCACAGCCGTAGAGCTGGCCTGGAACCTGCTGGTAGAAACAGAATGTGAAGCAGCACAACTAAAGAAATGTGTTTTCTGGTGTCACTACAAGGGGACCAGTGACAGGTCCTGGAGCCAGCAAGGACTGGCTTTCTCATGGCCTGCCTTGTCCATAGCAGTCCAGAGCAAGAGGCCAGGACTCACAGCACTTGTGCGGTAGCACAGTTTTGACTGTCTTGTCCTAGCCCCATGTTCTCCTGTGGATTGCAGCCACTTTTGCAGTTTTGAACCAAGGCAAAGCTCACACTGTATCCCAAAACATCTCACTGCCTCATATCAAGTGGTTTGTGCAGCAAAAAGGAGAATAAAAGGAAGGCTGATTCTTTCTCAAGATACATTTTTGATTAATATTCCAGGAAAAAACCCTAACATTCTCTACAGAGAAAACAGCATAAAATCCAGGAAATATGCAAGTCAAAGTGTTTTTTCAAATTGTCATATTCTTCTTCGAAAAGAATCTGAGGGTCATGTCCACAGATTGGGAATAGCAGGCATGGGTCAGACAGACATGGTGTGTCTTGTCCCAGAGTTTTGCTAATGCATCTCACTTCTGACCTGCACCAGCCTCCCTGCTGTAGTCTGTGCTCCCCATACACACCTTGGCTGTTTGGCTTCAGACTCTCTCTGCAGTCTCATAAGTTTTCAACTGGCATGTTTTTCCCAAATGCCATGGGAGGTACAGGTGAAATTTTGACAATTCAGTTATCTTTTCTGGTAAATACACAAGAGACACTGGTAGAAGAGATCCATAACTATCTAATTGCATGTACTAATCAGGTTTTGTATTAGAAAGATCCTCTACCAAGTGTAGCTGCTATTAGGTCAAAATGTAGTGAAGTAAATGAGTAATTCCCATAAAAACCTGAGAGGTGTTGTATTGTAGATGCTGCTACTCCTCCCTAGTGGCACCTACTCCAGTCTAGAAATCAGGACAAGTCTGAGAGGTGATGCTGGATGGACTAAATAGTATGAATTCAGAGCACAAGTTTAGGAGTCAGAAAGAGTCATTGAATCTGCTCATATCCACTGACTTGGGCAGGAAAAAATCAAACCACCATTTGATTAATTCCTGCATGTTTTGTCCCATCTCTCTTAGAGAGACGAACACAGGCAGTGGATTAACACACAAGTAACCTTTTGGCTTTTATTACACAGCAATACAAAGATTCTTGCAGCATGGAGACATCCTCAAGCTGGCTGTAACCCTGCCAGCACCACACCAGGGTTTGGCACAGCTCACAGCCCCCTGCACACCTCCTCGGGCAGTCCCAAGAAAAGGACAAGTAACACTTGACAGATGTGCTGAGAAACTGGGATCAGTGGGGGACCCTGATGCAGGCACAGGGAGGACATTGGCCATTCCCAAGCTCACATATGCTCCATAAACTACTGGCAGGAACTTGGGCAGGCCTGATGAAATAGTGATGACACCACTGTTCAATGCTGCTTAGCATCAGTAATTAAAAAAAAAGAGGAGGAAAAGTAAGGTGGAGAGCTATGAAAGGTCAGGATGGAATACACAAAAAGCGCTAGGGTTGAAGAAAAGACAGTAGTTGAGAAAAAAGGTAAAAGGAGAGCAGAGAAGGTAGAGGGGAAAAACTGGAGAAGAGAGAAACGGGACACAGATTGTCACTGCTGAGAGTTGTGCCCAAATGCACTTAAAGAGAAGACAGGGGCCGAAAGGCACGTGAAGTGTCCTGTCACACACACCTACATCCTTTTGGACACAAGTCAGTCACTTGCTCACTGAACAAGTTACCTGCATATCTGCTTCATTAAATAGTAACCCTGTAGGTCTGCTGACAAGAACATACTTCTCTCTCCTTTGGTAATTAGCCCCGAAGGCTGGTCATGCTCAGTGGCCATGAAACGCTGCAACAAGCAGCCTTTTCATGCCTCGAGCTTGCCTTTGTCCCCGTGTGTTCCCGTCGGGCTGGTGAAGGCAGGCGCGATGCCCGCCCGGCGCTGCTGCTCCCGGCCGCCTTCGGTCCCACCGCGCCCGGCCGCTGCCGGCGTCTCTCAGCGGCGCGGACAGGAGCGCGCTGGCGCGGCACTTCCAGCTTTTCCTCCTGCTTGGAAAACACCCAAGGGCACACTCGGGAGCGGCAATTTGCTGCCAGTCAGCTGGAGACAGCTGCGATTTGATGTGCTGGGAAGGGGAAGGGTCTTACAAGGCTCCAGAGATAGAGGAGAGGAAGGCCAGGGTTTTGTGGCAGGAGCTGGACAGGAACAGGAGGCTCAGCCCTTCTGCAGAGGCTGGGCACGCTGTTTGCTCAGCAAACCTGAAACTGGGGCTGAGCAGCTTTCTCTCATTTTTGCCACCAAGGACAGGATTGTGCTGGCCCCAGTCAGTGACTTATTCATAAGAGCACTAAGAGACTCAAACCTATTTTAACAAATATAAAATGCCTCCTAAAGTTCCTGCAATGTGGGTTGAGTTAAGCTAAAGCTGACATGAACACAGTGTAAGGAATTAAAATGGTTTTGGGTTTTTTGGTTTTTGTTTTTCTAAATTACTTTTCTTGTCAAAAAACAAAGAAAGCAGGTTACTAACACTTACCCCACTTACCCTGTTAGGAGCCTGAAAAGAAGCATGCATAGCCCAAAGCTTTAGCTTTATGATCACATTTCCCCTCCAAAATATTTTGGAGATAAATTCCAGGCGCTTCAGCCTGGAGAACTCCACTGGAGAACAGTGCAAAGATTAAAACCAAACATATTGCCAGTAATTCCTAGCAGCCTGTTCCAGCAGTGGGACCATGAACCTGGGAATGAACCTTCAGCTGTGCTTGACTCAAGATAAGACCTTGAGTAAGTCCTACCTGCCACTCTAGCCTGCAATACTCTGCAGGGGCAATGACTGAGAATTAGCAAAGGTTATTCCTTATTTTGTGGTGTCTGAGGTCTGGTCACTCCAAGTCTGTTTTTTTCAAGAAGCTTGCTGTCTGTCTGCACTGTTTTTGTATATATACATATTAGCATTTTGACCCATTTGCATGGGGGGCAATTTCACCTCCTAACCTCGAGTTTAACCTCATGAATTGCCTCTAGGCCACCAGAACATTACCCTGCTGCTTCCCCAGGAGAGTAGGCTGGCAGGATTTTGGATCAAGCCACCACTCAGCTGCACCATACTGTCAAAGTCCACCACCCTCTGCCCTGCTCACTCTGATGCCAGACCTGCATCTGTCCCAGCCTGACCTTCTTTTCCCAAGCACTTGTATACTTGGCTCAAGGCTCTATGTAGGTAAACTCCCTTGTGCTACACAAACCCTGTTCCTTCCACCAGAGACCACTTCAAAGTCTGTTTTCTGCTCTGCAACAATTCTGTTCATGGAGGGACACAGTTTGCAAAGTCCCTTTTTTTAAATCTCTCCCACCATTAGGCACTCATCTAATCTGCCCCCAGTCCAATTGTTTATGTCTGACTAATGTTCATTGCTTCAAAATCAGTTTGGAGCTAATGCTGTGTCTACCAGTTAAATGTTTGATGGAATGACATCAAAATCAAAACAGACAGAAAAAAAGTATTTCCCTTTGATATGCTGACCACATTGTACAAAACTCACTATTATAAGACTCAGGTTGCTTAGAATTTTGCCAGACCTTAATCTTTTGAATTTAAGCTTTTGATGCTGGTTGTCTGCCCTGCTGGAATTCAGGGTGAAAATTTTAGCTAATGCAGTTTGTCTACTACAGGAAAGCTTTTCACCCCAGTTAAAAAAAGAAAAACAACAAACAACTGTTATCTTGTGCAAGCTTTTTGGTTGAATAATGTCAGTGCTAACATTTGGAGCCCTGCTTTAAATTTTGACAGGAAGGTCACAATGGTGCCAGGGAATAATTTTTTACAAGAAGAGTAATGCACCTTTGTCCAAGCTGTGAGCCCCTGAAAAATCAGTTTGCATATGTTCTGTAGTGATTTGTGATAGGCAGCAAAAATATTTTTCAAAGTCCTGATTTCACAATTTCAATATTCTTTCAGTGCAGTGTTGGTTTCTTTTAATGTAATCTATAAAAATAGCCAGTGACCTTTAGTGACATCTAAACAGGCTCCCAGTTTCCTTCCATGGTTTGAAGCCTTAAACAATAGCCCCAAAGAAATGACTCAATACCACACACACATGTACTTGATGCCTGGGAAATTGCTGGTTGCTGGTCAGCAAGAACAAGGAGATTCACACAGCTCCAATGCATGGCAGCTTCAGAGAATTTGGGGAACTCAAGGCATCAAAGGCCTGAGATGCAGGAAACCAACATTCTCCCAGCCACCACTGTGAACTCCAAGCAGTGTGAGGATGCCTACGAGTTTTAAGTGAAAGATAATGAGGGTAAAAAACCTTTTGGGATTCCACAGGATGTTGTGGCTCCAGTCACTGAGCTGCCATGTGCTGAGCTCCCAACTTCTCAGCCCAGGCTGCTGAAGTCTTTCACTGTGGCAGAGTGGAGGATTTGTGCTCCCAAATCAGTATATTCTTATATTAGGGCAGAAGCATTAAATTGCCCTTGTTCTTCAAGGACGAGGAAGTTTCAGAATCCTATTAGGCCAAATTCACCTGACACCAGCTTTTAATATGTGTATGTATAACCTCAGACAGAAAGAAACCTTTGACAGCTCAGCTGGTAGAACTGTTGCCTTTAGACCACAAGCAATGTGTGTGAAACCTGAGAGAGGAAATCTGCAGGTTTCTGAATAAATCAGGATTCTGGAAGTGGGGTCAGCCTTCTGACAGTCACAATATGGCAACCACCAGTGTCCAAGGACAGTGGGCAGTTTGCA